TTAAACTGCTTAATTACATCATCTAGTATCTTCAAGAGACTATTTATTTTTAAAGGACATATTTTATCATTTGGAGAACATTTATAAATTTAGAGAGTTAAAATTTTGAAGTACTCCAACAAACTCTTTATATTTAATACTTAATTTTATTACTCCCAAAAAATATTTATTATTTTTTTTATCTTTTATTTTAACTGACTTTTCTTTAAATTATTTTATGAATAATACTATTCATCTTCACTGGGGTTAAGCAGCAGTTTATGTGGTAATTATATGACATTAAATAATAGACGCAATTAAATGAGTCATGTGACTTTATATTTAAATAAATATATCATTTATTGTCATATAATTATCACATAGATTAGGATTCAACCCCAGTGAAGAAAAATTGTATCACTCTTATTTTATTATTTTCCNATTAAAATTTTGAAGTACTTTAAGAAACTCTTTATATTTAACACTTAATTTTACTACTCCAAAAATATATTTATTAATTTTCTATATCTTTTATTTTAACTAGTTTTTCTCTAAATTATTTTATTATTTTCCTACATTGAAAATTAAGACATGAATATATTTTATTATAGAGAGTAAGTTTGGCTCTCCAAATTTGGAGAGTCAAACCTCACTCTCTAAATTAAAATGTTAATTTAAAGAGTCTCTTGGAGCATGATTTTAAATATTGACTCTTTAAAATAAAGAGTATCTCATGTTTAAAAAATCTTTTGGAGATATTCTAAGATTCATAACGCTAATTTTCTACTGTGCTAAAGATTCAAGCTTAGAAAAACCAACGAAACAAACACCACCAAAACAAGCTAGACCTAAAACTCTCAAACACTTTGATTGCTACAAGTTTTCACACCACAAAGGAAATGAAGATGGCAGTAATATTTGCAAGCCACAAACCACAAAGGAAGAAGAAATGGGAGGGCAGCAAAATCACCAAGCAAAGCTTTGAAGTTTACAAGGAAAAACAAATCGAGTTAAATCTATCAATACCACCCAACTTTATATTTAATATTACCATGACCTCCCAATTTGATTTTATTTCATCATAACCATTCAATTTCATCTAATGTTTCACCATAACAACTCAATTTCATAAAATATTTCACCATGACCACCCAACTTTTTTTCACAATTTTCATTAATTTTAAAAGGAGTAAAATGGTAACTTTGTATTTTATATATAAAA